AGAAATTCAGGGCAAAATACTAACCATTAGAACATTCTTTAATTGGGATTTAGAGATGTACTATATATTTCTCTGAAAGATATGAACTAGATAAAATAATAGGACAAGGTAGCAAAAACCCTACTGGAAAACGCAAAAAAGGAAAGAAAGCTGAAGGCTGTAAGTTAGTAGTGTTGATATAGGTGAAGCATGCGTCCCAACTTGTTTGAGATTGAGGCGTAGTTGTTGTTGCTGTTATGTGTTACAGCACTGCTAGTGTTACTAATTAAAAAGGAGTTGTACCATAAGTAGCAAAAATCAGAACTTTCTTTCATTCGCACTTAGATATGTACCATATATTTTTCTGAAAGACATGAATGAGATAATATAATAGGGCAAGGAAGCAAAACCAGAACTGGAAAAACCATAAAAGGAAAGAAAACTGAATGCTTTAGGTTAGTATTGTAAGTTACTGTGACTCAGGGGGAAAAGGCAATTAAGCAATGCTATGAATTATTCCTTCCATTGCTGTTTGACTAGACACATAGTTCAAGAAGTGAATCCGAGTCATGCATTATATTACTGAAAAATTAGTCAGAAAAGAATCTTAGTATAGAAGTTTAAAATTTTATTGTTTATATAAAATTGAATTCTGCACCCAAGGGGTGGCCTAGTGGTCAACGGAGTGGGAAGAAAACCATGGGGTTTTAGGTTCAAATTCCAGCAGGAAAAAATAGTACTAGGTGATTTGTTCCCATTTCCTAAGCCGTCGTGGACAGAGTTAATCGGTACCTGTGCTGGTTTGAGGTAGCAGGTTCCCGATGGAATAGTTGAGGTACGACCGTATCCTGATTTCTATCTGTTCGAGGAAATGGATTGAGCAGTTATCTGTTTGTTGGAGGGGAAAACAGTTACCTTCAGTTAAAGAAAATACTTCTATGCTTTATGTGTAGACGATTGTGAGGATATCTGACAGGCAACTTTTATTCGTTTTCATTCCAATTTTGTCTACTTTATTTAAGGATCAGTACTCTGCTGCCCATAGTTCTCAATAGATATCTGTTTACAGAAACCGCCGCGAGGGATGCTCTAGAGCTAGTCATGGCTGATGCTCTTTCAAAAGCAGGCTCAACACGTTTCTGTGTACAAGCTGTTTGTTTGGCTGTCTCTGGTGTCAACCATCCAACAGACGAGGAACGAATACTTAACTGGCTTAGGTATGCTCCAAAACAATCATACTTTATTATCGTCTTTCCTTATCAAATTTATCATGTGCTTTCCTGTATGCATCCAGCACTAGTCACTAGTTTCTCAATGCTGTGTTCATAGTGTGCCCTTTGCTGCTACAAGGTGGAATAAAGTGCAATTAGAGATGAGATACTGCTTTCAGTGAATACCCAAATCTATTAAGTCTGTCTGAAATGGTTGAATATTTGGGAAATGATTATATAATCTTTAATGAAATTTTTTTCAAGCCATTGAAGATGCACTGCACCATCCTTTGTTCTTCTGGTAACCAAAGACTTGATTCCATAAATCACCATCTGGCACAACATCTTGTGAGTCATTGACTGAAGATTCTCTTTCATTTCTCTCCTTTTCTTCTGTACTTGTCCTTGCTCTTTATTTGGATCATCATTCCGCTGTAATCTGCTATATTTGATGATTTTCTTTTCCTTGACGTCATATTTACTTACATACACCTTTTATCTTTTACTAAAAAAAATTCCTTTAATTATTTCTAGAGAAATATTTCCCAGCCATGTCCAATTCTTTGTTCAGAATGATGCTGTGGCAGCTCTTGCAAGTGGAACAATGGGAAAGCTTCATGGGTGTGTCCTTATTGCTGGTACAGGAACAATTGCTTATGGTTTTACTGAAGATGGGAGAGATGCTCGAGCTGCTGGTGCCGGGCCTGTATTAGGAGATTGGGGAAGGTATACATTTCACGGCATCACTACATTTGTCGTCTTATTATCATGAGTTAAATTGCTATTTCATTCTTTTGGCTTCTTCTCCCGCACCTTGCAAGTCCATTTTCTACTGTGAAATGAGAGCCAATAAAAGTTATTGCTAATGATGCTTCATTTGGGATATTTGGATGACAACTAGATAACGATATGGGCACTTTCGTCTTAAATTTTTTCCCTTAATTTGCTGTCTCATATTTAAGCTTAAAGCATTATTAGTGGAAGCCCTCTTTGGTTACATCTTCCAGTTGTTTATGCTGTCTCAAACTATCTGGCATTGTAGCCCACATTTTGTTCTGATCCAGTTCGAGATATTCTGTTAATGGCTTTATAAAATACTTTGGTTGTTGTACTTTTCCTTTAGTTGGTTAAATTAGAGGATCTGTTTCTTGTTCACATGCAGTGGATATGGTATAGCTGCACAGGCATTGACTGCTGCAGTTAGGGCCTATGATGGTCGTGGTCCATACACTGCACTTACGTCAAGTATTCTACGGAAGCTGGATCTTTCTTCTCCTGATGAGCTTATCGGGTACTTGGTCAAAATTTTGAATCGTTAATCTCGTAAACTTTGCTTATGAGTCGGTTGTTCTTTTAAGTAATTTACTGCCTCAGACATGAAAAGAGTACCTCATACAGTCAAAATTTGTTATTGAAAAGATGCATGCACATTTGTTGACTAGCATTCGTTACTCATGTTGTTAAGAGTTTTTTCTTTCTGGTTTTTGTTTTTAGATGCAGAGGGAAGTGGGAACACATTTGAACTTGATACCTTAGATGTCAAAGGAACAATATTTGTAGTATTCACCAGTTGCTGTAGTAAACATGCATAATGATATTTATGTATTTAGCTTTACAAGCTTATGTTTATGTTAATGTTTAATTATGAGTTATCCTCATCTAAAATATTATCCCTTTTTATTAATTAATCAGTGTATCGTTTCTCACCTCTAAAATCGTGTATTAAGAAGAACTCTTTGGGTCAGAACAATTTTTCATTTGATTCTCAGGTGGACCTATTCAGATCCATCTTGGGCTCGGATTGCTGCTCTTGTTCCAGTCGTAGTGTCTTGTGCAGAGGGAGGTGATGAAGTAGCAAATAAGATATTGAGAGATGCGGTTCAAGAATTAGCTTCGAGTGTTAAAGCGGTTGTTAGAAGACTATGCTTGTGTGGTGAAGGTATGCTGTCAATCGTTTAATCCATTGCAATAGGACTATAGTTACACGAAAAAGTTTGATACCTTTCATATCTATATGACACATATGTATATGTGGTAAACTCTCTCTGTATTTATAGTTTATAGAAGGGGAGCCTTGGCATAACTAGTAGAGTTGCTATCATGTGACCATGAGGTCACGGGTTCGAGCCGTGGAAACAACCTCTTGCAGAAATGCAATCTAAGACTGCGTAAAATAGACCCTTGTGATCCGGCCCTTCCCTGCACCCCGAGCATAGTGGGAGCTTAGTGCATCGGCCTGTCCTTTTCCCTCTGTGTTTATCACCTCCAAGCACTAAGTAGCCTTGAAAAAATTGACTTCATTATCAGAAGCTCTTTTTAGATGTTCTTTTTTATGAGTTTTCAAACTTGTCTTACCTAAGAATTTTGCAAAATTGATCGCAGACGTGACTAACGAGTTGATACTAAATTCTCTGTAGAAGGAAATGATCCTTTTCCTCTTGTTATGGTTGGGGGTGTTCTTGAAGCAAACAAAAAATGGGATATAGGAAGAGAAGTGATTAACTGTATACACAAGGACTTCCCTGGGGTTCATCCAATTTGTCCGAAGGTAAGTGTAATTTCCCCGATAATGCTTAATATAGTTTCTTCATATTGAAAAGTAAAAGGTTTATACATTTCTTAGAAGAGTTTAACTTCTATACGTTGACAATATCCAAATATTTTTACACTATAATGTTACGTAAAAGATAATTATAGGTACTATCCATTATAAATAGGATTAGTAACTTGGAAAATAAGGTAGGTAACTTGCCACGACAGGTGAAAATACAATGATAGTGTATAAGTTATTCACATTGTCGGTGCATATAAGTTGAATGCTTCCTAAAAACTATCGGGGAACATGCAAAATGTTAACTGGTTTTGTGACATTGCATCAGTATGCTACCACCTAGCATAGTAGTGTTTCTCACCCAATTAGTCATCTCGAGCCGTGGAAGCAGCCGCTAATGTTTGCATTAGGGTAGGCTATCTACATCACAGCTCTTGGGGTGCGGCCCTTCTCTGGACCCTGCGTGAGCGCGGGATGCTTTGTACACAGGGCTGTCCTATCTCTTCTTCTTCTTTTTTTTTTTTTAAAAAAAATTTACTCAACTTTTGGTGATTAGGTGGAACCTGCCATTGGAGCTGCTTTGCTTGCTTGGAACTTTTTGGCTAGATATAGTCGACGAGGGACTCTGAGAAGTGAGACATATTCTTCTTAAAAGAGTTCAATCAATTGTACAGCAGCAAGGATGAATGGAAGGTCATTTTCAACATATAATCCACAAATGAAAGAAAAGTGAATTTTGTTTTGTCCATTTTTTGTTATATAGATTCTTCTTACTCTTGCTTAGGTTCACATCCTCTCTTTTCATTTTCCCTGTTATTGGGAATGGTCTTAGAAGGTTAGCCTTGGCGTAATTGGTAAAGTTGATGTCATGTGACCAGGAGGTCACAAGTTCGAGCCGTGAAAACAGCCTCTTGCAAAAATGCAGAGTAAGGCTGCGTACGATAGACCCTTGTAGTCCGGCCTTCCCCGGTCAAAAATCTCCGAATCCCGCACATAGCGGGAGCTTAGTGCATTGAGTTGCCCTATATTGGAAATGGTTTGGCTATTGATTTGGTATTAGTTAGTAAAGATAACTTGCTCATCAAGATTAGTTGTATTCTAACCCTATTTACAAGGGTTATGTTACCTCCTCCATGTTTTTGTTTTCCCACTCTCCGCATGATTGAGAAGTAGCGCGAAGCATGTCACACTTGAGATTTGAACCTATGACATAGAGGAATTTTTGTCACTTAATTGGAACTTTTACAAAGTCAAGGGGATTCGAAAATGTCACACTTGGAATTTGATCCTATGTGCACAGTATAATTTTTTCACTCGTTCAAGCTAGCTCCGCCCCAGTGAGTACACAAGAATCAAGACTATATACTTGGCTGTTTATTACACAAGAACACTTCCAAGAGCTGTTGATGGACGACAATAACCTGAATTTTCATAATTTCTTTCCCACCTGTTAATTAATATCAAATTTAAGATTAAAATCTTAACAATCTTCTTCAATAATGCAAAAAATTTTGTTGGATAAAGTGCATCAAAATGAATTAATTTGAACCTGCATTCATCGTCTTCTGGAATTTGAAGTTCCAAGTCATGTTCTTCGAATGGCTTGAAGATCATATCGAGCTGATCATCGTGCATTTTGTCAAGAGTTGAAGGATTCCACTGGAAAGGAAGAGAGAGAATCATTTTAATTATCAATACATTTTAATAAACACATCAACTGCTTATTATCACTACTGAAAAGTACTTTTTAATTATTTTCAGTCGGATAAGCCTAACGGTTCTATATGGATATATTTATCTAAATACTTGTAGATAAATATTATATGGTCAATGAAGCTACGAACATTGGATTGGAGTGTATATGACAAATAATGTGTGTTTAGATTAACATATTGAAGTAAAAATAGCACGGGCTATCCAGTTTTTAGACTGGTCATTCAAAAATAGCTAGCGTTGCAAAGTCATTGAAAAATAGCCACTATTTTGCTGCAACAGAGACCGGTCCAGCATAATATACTGGAGATCGATGCATCTGTGTATGAACTTCCAGTATATTATGCTGGAACTCCAACACGCGAAAAGTTCCAGCATAGTATACTGGAGATTGGAGCACCTGTGTATGAACTTCCAACATATTATACTGGACCGGTATATTATACTGGAACTCCAGTATACTTATGCTAGAACTCTAGTATGCTGGAGTATTTTCCGGATTTTGAACAGTGTTTTCGTTCAGATTTATCTTTACATGAAAAGTTGCCAAATTTCGATTACTTTTGAAACTGTGGCTATTTTTGAATGACCAGTTATAAATCTGACTATTTTTGAATTTCTCCCCGTATTGAAGGAGGAAAGGAGAATGAATACCTTTGGAGACTTATCCTTGTCAATAATGGCAGCCCTTATGCCCTTTATAAATAAATCAAAAAGCTCTATTTAGATTCAAAATTAAATGAAAAATTACAAATCAAGTGTACTTCTACATGTTAAATACTTACGAATACGTTTGATTAAAGTTTTTGAAAAAAGTTACCTCATAGAAATCACCAGATATTATAGTTCGTTGTATATTCATCGTAATCCTGAATTCTCTCCTCAAGCATTCAAACAGTGTTTGTGTCCTTCCTTCTCGTATCTGGAAAAGAAATTTGCAAAATGGTAAGATCCTTTCTTTTGGTCTATATGCGCTTGACGAAAGACATATAAAAAAATTACGGTCAAAGAAGGATTCGTTTGGCGAACACCTTCACATAAATTGGGACGAAGTGAATAGTATATATGCATATAAAGAACTAATTACCGATCTCAATGTTATTTTCAGTCCTGTTGGAGATGCTTTCTTTAGGCTTTTAAGCACTTTAATAATCCAATCATTTCCTTTTTTGCTTGCCTCAGCTTCCTGAAAATTAAAGTTAACAAGAAATTAGAAAAATGACACTGTATAGCTGTAAAAATAATAGCCGAAAAATGTATAAAATATGTATATTTTTTGTATATATATACATTCTATATGTTATATACAAAAAATATACAAATTTTATATATTTTTTCGACTACCAAATATAAATAGTTTGTAGCGCATGCTAAAAGTGATAATACCCCAAAAATTATGCTATGCACTATGCTTAGAAATCATTATTGGTAGTCTAGCTCGTACTATGATACACATCACTGCACGTTTCAATTTATGTGACATTATTGAATTGGAAATAAAGTTTAAGATGTAAATTTAAAACAAATGGTTCAGAATCTCCTCCACAGAATAAAAAAAAAACTTATAAAATAAATAAATTAGAGAAAAGTAGGAGTTAGCTCTTATTAGAAGAATCAATTCTTACAAGTGACTCCACAATCTCCTCCACAGTATCCTTGGAAAAATACTCGTTGATTATGGACAACCTACACGAGTATTAACAAAATAAATGTCACTCATAAATCGTCAAGAAGAATTAACCTAAATAGTCGTTTATTCAACTGTTTATACAAAAAATAGTCATGTATAAACATGTATAATTCATGTATAATATATTTATAATCGTATATTATCAGTATATAATCTGTATAAACAGTGAATCTATCCGGCTATTTGTGTAATGATTCAGAATCATAATTTAGATACATTACTTGTTCAAGAAACTTCTTTCATCTATGTCAATATTTGTGGAAAATTCATTGATGACAGATCTAATAGCATCCTCTTCACCACTGTTTATGCTCAGCAAGCGTTTCTCTAGCTGGAATAGTTTCTGACATTTGACAAAAATGTATAGTATGCCAAAATTACTGTTAAACTTTTACATGGCTCGCTCCAATTAAATAACACAAAGTACAATCCTCAAATATTACTAAATTCAAGGCAAATTGTGGTAATAATAATAATAATAATAATAATAATAATAATAATAATAATAATAATAAGTAGTCCATAAAGGGCAGTCCGGTGCACAAGGTATCCCACATGCACACATGATCCGGGGAAGGGCCGTAACCCTAATGCAAGCATTAGGTCATACTAGTGGCGCACACAAGAATTTATGCAAGTGATGTCAATATTTGAAGAAGTGAACAAATAAATAAATCGCTATAACAACAAGCTAAGCTGTTTCATTTTTATTTTTCTTATTATCTATACATATGTTGACAAAAAATTTGATGAAACGATATCCCTTGGGTCATACGGAGACAACTTTACTATTGCTCCGTGACTTCCCTCCCACAGTTGATCGTAGATGGTTCAAACCTTATCAATAGCGCAACATCCCCTTCTCCTTCCCTTCCCCTACCCCCCTCCTCAGCGCGCGCCCCAATGTCTGATGTAATAATTTATTTATTTTTTGAAAAATAATTGTGAAGTAGTTGATTATCATGTATTGGAGGGTCTATTGGTGAATTTATGAGAAAAGGAAAAGCTTAGAGAAAATTGAAGCTTGGATTAATCACCTGAGAAGGAACAAAATGAGTGGCAAGTCCAGCAGCTAATATTTCTTTACCCATTAATTTTGCTCCTGTTAAGCCCAAGTATTCCCCTACATACAAGTATTTAACATCACATTAATTAGGGGTTAGGTTACACGTACCTCTTGTATTTGTATTTTGTTTTGGTTATTAATATACGAGATAAGGATCAAGCCATTGGAAAAATTACATTTTCTTTCTTAAGCGCTTACCGAGTCGACCTGGAAGGCGCGAAAGCATGTACGAGAAGCCACAATCTGGGTGGAACCCTAGACTTGTTTCAGGAGTAGAACAAAACTGCAACGTTCGATCAACAAACGTTAGAGTTGAAACAGTTTAAGTAAGTTCTATATACTAACGTATTTAAAGAACTATTTATACAATCAGGTCACTCTGGTTAAGACAATTATAAATAAATTTCTTCATGATAACCATTAATTGATACTAACCGCCTTTTCAGTGACGACGGAGAACTTCATTGGCACCATCAAGGAAGCACCTCCACCCACTGCCATTCCGTGGACAAGAGCAATATGTGGTTTCTTGTATGTATGAATATGGTAGCAAAGCCAATACATTCTATATGTACCTTCTAGGCAAGAATCCCCTTGAAAAAAAAACACGTGTAGTCATTATTCAACAACAACAACAATAATAATAATTACGCCTCAGTCCCAAATAAGTTAAGATCGGCTATATGAAATTTCACTTCTTTTCTTAAACTCAGATCATGGCATCATCATATCAAATAAACAAAAGAAAAAGTAAACAAGAGTAAACTTATAAAGAACTAGTTACTTGTGTTTCGGCCATCATAAAATGTTTTTAAGTCTCCACCAGCAGAGAAAGTACGACCAGCTCCCTATTTGTATTACAAAAAAAAAATGAACGATAATTTTAAGAAATAATCAAATTTAACATCAAGAGAAATAAGCAAATATAAAGTAAAATAGATACTTGCCTTGATGATTACAAATTCAGCTTCATCATCTTTCTCGTATTTCTCAAATTTCTGCCCCAGCATTAATATCTAACAACGGAATGAAATTTCCTTATAAGTATATGTTTCAAAAAGAATGATACCGTTTTATAAGTACAAAACAATTGATCTTTGAACTTTTTATTTATCGTTAATAACGTGCTTTTATAGTCACATAAATCTCATGACATGTTTAATTAACAAGAAAAATGATAAAAATTGGCGGCGTGCTGGCTAATGAAAATGTGCATTGTTTTGATATTTATGGACAAAAAGAATTATGCTTTTATTAATTGTTTATATGTTTAAAATTTAGGTTATGAAAAGATGTATTTTTGTGATAAATTTTTCTTATTTGGCATGTAAACGTGACAACAATGAATCAAATGATGGTGTGGCGATGGCATGTTATTTTATGACGCCGAAAATTTGACTTTTCGGTAATTTGTATTTTTTGGTAAATAACAAATAGTTAGTGACAATACTGTTACAAAAAATCATTTTGTGGCTTTAGTGTTACAAAGAGTAAATTTACCAGCAAAAAAAAAAAAAAAAAAAAAAAGATTTAACAAATGCACAAGGTTTTTGTCCCCAGTGATCATCTGGTCGCGCTACTTCAACTACTGCTGGATGTTTATACAAAACTCTTTCGAGCTTATATTTTCACCTCCTGAAATTATAATGTCTTTTAAGCTATCCTTAATTTCTATGTAACCATCTTGATGTTTTACAGCAAGATCACCACTATGAAACCATCCGCCTTTAAAAGCTTGCTTTAACATCTTTCAAATATTTCACTCATTACAGTATTTCCGAGCTCCTCCATTTTGGAAAATATCTGTGGAGGAGGTGGTGATCCACCTGTTAATATTTCCACCTTATGTGGTTGAAACATAATATAATTAAATAATTAAAAGTATATTATTTCTGACAAAGTAAGCTTTTAGATTAAATGGTCAACAGACCCTGTCGCTTGGTATAGAGTTTGCTATCACGGTTGGTACTGCGCCCATATGTGTGACTTTGTAGAGAGAAATACTTTCAAATATATTTTTAGCAGAAATATGCCTAAGGCAAACATTTGTGCCACCAATTGCAGCCATTCCCCAAGTCAAGCACCATCCATTGCAGTGAAACATCGGAGATGTCTAAAGATATGTAGGCATCGAACCCATTCCATAAACCAGAAACGTACTAATAGTATTGAGATACGCGCCTCTGTGATTGTAGACAACTCCTTTGGATTGTGACGTTGTTCCGGAAGTATAATTTATACTGATTGGATCAAATTCAGTTTTTGGCCACTTTCTTGCAAAAAAGATTTTCGTATTCGTGAACGTTATTAGACGACGATGTCTCAGGTATAGGAGGAGAGGAATTCTCGGATTCACGAATTAGTACAAGAATTGGTGGTTTAATTGTTTTGTCTTTTGATAGAAGATTGAGTGCTTCTTGAGCAATTTGAAGCAAATGCTGATCAACAAATATGATTTTGGCTTCTGAATGTTTTAGTAAGTCAGCTATCGTTGACGAATCAAGGCGCGTATTTAATGTACAAATAACTGCTCCAGCCATTGGAACTGCAAAATGCAGCTCCTGCATTGCTGGTACATTAGGAGCCAGACTTGCAACCTGCAAAAATATAAGAAGTTAAATTATTAAAACAATTTCAAGCAAAAGTAAAAAATTTAAAAGCAAATGCTTGAAAACAAAATATTATTAGATGTGCCTTTTAAGTTAGATCAAATTAGCTTTTAACATCTTTTTAGTTTTTTCGGTGTTGGACAAAACTATAAAGTACTTAAAATAAGTTTAAAACGGTTTAAAACAAGCCAAAAGCAATAAGCAGGGCAATCCCAACTTAAAGTCTACGTTAGTGGTTGAAAAGATTGACAATCTACATATAAGATGTAGAGATCTCCTAATTGTGTGAGTTTATTGGGGGAAACCGTGCATGCTTTGGCCCTAATAAAGACAATATCACACCAAGTTAAGAGTATCTTAAGTTGGTTAAGTCCAACTAATAGAAAATACTCCCTCCGGTCTACTTTAATTGATTTTTGGTTGTTTTTACACATATTAAGGTATCCAACTGTTTTCTTAACAATGAAATTGACCATATTAATTTTAATTTGTTCATTGAAAATACAAAAAATATTGGTGTCAATGGAACATAATTTGCTGAAATTTTACGGAATTCAGTTTCAATATTTCCAGTAATTTGGGACAGGCGGCGGACGCTTTGAGTGTTGATCTGGACTCGATTGAAGCCATTAAAGAACTTTTGAGCCAATTTAGAGCTTTTGAAGAAGTTATTCATGGTATGGAGCAATGGCGAACCGCTATCTAGTGAGGGGTTTAATTGAATTCCCTTCGTTGAAAAAAACATACTATACAAGTAAAAAATTATGTAAGAATTTGAACTTTTTTTAGGCGGAAATCAATTAAGTTAATTGGCAAATTAAAAGCCATTTAATTAACTATTGCATTAATAACTGAAACTGGTCCACCCCGAAAGTAGCTGTAACCATAGCCACCAAAAATTGAAATGTTAAGCAGTTTAAATTTCATCAACTTAAACAATAGTTTTAGCTTTCCTATTTTTGTTTTTTCCGGAAAATAATATATACCACCAGTATTCTAGCAATATACACTTTCACATCTTTTTCTCACCAATAATGAAAGGAAATTTGAAAATATGGCCTTAGTTATTAGCCTGTTTGACCAAACATCTATTAGACCAAAAGTATTTTTTTTTTCCTAAAGTGTTTTGGTTAAGTTTTTAGAAGGAAAAAAAATACTTTTGAGTAGAACCGGAAGTAGTTTTTGAAAAACAGAAAAAAATAGCGTATTCCCAAAGCACTTTTGAGAAAAATTACATTTAAAAGTACTTTTTAAAATTTTTGTCAAACACTAATTACTGCTCAAATGTACTTTTCATATTAATCGGTCAAACGCAAACGGTTTCTTATCAAAAGTACTTTTTTGAAAATATTAATCAGTCAAACGCAAATGGTTTCTTATCGAAAGTACTTTTTTCAAAATGGCCAATTTGTTTGGGAGGTGCTTTTTGCAGTATTTGATAAGTAAATTGTGTTTGGACAATTTTTTTAAAAAGTACTTTTGAGTGCCAAATTATTAAAAGAAACATTGAAAGTACTATTTAACAGAGATAAATATATTTAAATATTTATTATAAAGTATTTTAATTATTTTATTTTATTATAAAAATATAAAACATAGAGTATTGCTCTATATTAAAGATTCTTACAATATAAAATATGATTATCCAAAATAATAAACGGGTATTTGAATTTACTTACTATACATGATGATTTCAATATATCTCAATACATCATTAGGTATAAATTGAAAATCTACTACATAAATCATTATACTCCATAAAAGAAGAGACTTATTTATAGCAGAGAGACTATTTCAAAGAGGAATGAGAATGTGACACCCTAGGCAAATTCCATATCGACAAAACACGGGAGAGATACTGGGTATATGAATAAACATGCCTTAGGCTCTAGTGAAGCGTTTTAAACTCGTGTGGGCCTAGGCTAAAGCGGACAATATCACTAGTGGGTTGGACCGTTATATAAGAAGAATAAAAATATGATAAAATAAAAAGGAATTTTTACCTTCCTATACCACATATGAAACCTTATTACCCTCAATGTTTAAGGTTTGAGTTAATTACATTTCAGCATACCAAATTATCATTTATATACCATAATTAATTTAGAGGCATAATTAATTGGCAGTCTTTTACTCCTTAATTAAAGGTGTCCATATATCCCACGTTTCTCTCTCCCCTTAATTCCCAAGATCTGACCAGCGCCATTTTCCCCCTCCCATTTCTTTCTCTTCTCCATTCCTTCTTCTTCTTCTCAAAAAATACAGAAATGAGACCCATTTTTTATAATCAGATTTTTAGCCAAAGAGATTCAATATGAAACCCATTGTTTTTCAACATAGACAATTCTCAATTGTAAATTTGTGGGGTAGCCATATGAATCTTCTGTAACCTCCTCCAGCGAGCTTCAAAAGGCCGTAACCATCAAGATGTAGAATAATCAAAATCAAAACACTAGCTAGATCTGAAAAAGAAGATGAAGTCAGCAAAATCAATATCTCAGTCCTAAACTCTTGATTCACCTTCTATTTGGTTCTCCTCGAGTTTAAAGCTTCTCATCGACAATTTCTTCATTTTCTCTTCTTTTTAATCCTAGTCGATCTCGTGCAATTTTTTGGGTGTATGGGTGCAATTGTAGTTTATTTGTAGTTTTGTAGAAATTTTGTAGATGAAGAGCAAATTTTGTTGTCAATATTTTTTTTCACATAAGATTGTAGTTTAATTGTAGTATAAATGTAGTAATTTTGTAGATACCCTTAAAAATAATACAACTTTATACAATACTTAAACTGATTTGTAGTTTATTTGTAGTTTTTTTTTTGTAGAAATTTTGTAGATGAAGAGAAAATTTGGTAGTCAACATTTTTTTTCAACATAGATTATAGTTTAACTGTAGTAGAAATGTAATAATTTTATAGATACCTTAAAAACAATACAACTTTATACAATACTTAAACTGATTTGTAGTTTATTTGTAGAAATTTTGTAGATAAAGAGAAAATTTTGTAGTCAACATCTTTTTTCAACATAAATTGTAGTGTAATTGTAGTATAAATGTAGTAATTTTATAGATACCCTTCAAAACAATACTGCTTTATACATACGTAAACTGATTTGTAGTTATTTATAAATTTTTTGTAGATTAGGAGAAAATTTTGTAGTCAACATTTTTTTGTATTTAGAAGCAGATGTTTAACTTAGATAGTTTCATTTCACCAATATATTTTTCTATTCTTCCAGCTTCAAAT